GTTGGGTGGAAAAGAGAATTATCTTTTTTCCTTATTATTTCATCACTAAGATTTTGTGTCCACTTTATGACAGTTCAGAGTTAATAACTCATTGAGAGCCAGCCATAACTTTTAAAGCTAATGAACTTAATGCTTCATTATTTTTCTCTCAATCTTTTCTTCCTCCCTTCCCAACTCCTCCCTTTTGGGTACCACTTTCTTTCCTTTCATTTTTATAACCACCTCAAATCTGGCTCATTCCCTTCCTAATTAATAATTTTTACCATGTTCTTCATTTATTCTAAGGTGAAAGTGGCAGATAAACTCCTACAGTGTTACTCCTAGGTGATATTTATACACAAAGAACAAAATATTTTAACTGAAAATATTAAGATTCTTTGGTTTCAGTGTTGGTAATTGGAGGTTGCAGTTTAAAGGAACCGATTTAGTGACTCTTGATACTTATTCTTTTTATATCATTATATAAACATGTGCCTTCTTACAACATGTTTTTTAGTGTACTAGTATAGAGAAAAAATATAAGAAATTTCAAAATCTAGGGGGGAAATACATTTGCCTTAACCTTCAAGTGGAAGTTACTTAATCCATTTATACCACATGACAAACATAAAACCCACAGACTGAATCCAGCCCTCCACTGTGTTTTATCCCGCTGGCACCTTGTTTCTACCCCATAGGAGCACCAAGCTCCTTGCCCCTAATTAAGGAGAAGTTACATATATACAGTCCTAAAATTACATTGGCTCTGTGAAGGCAACCACAAGGCTGATGTGGCCCCCAATGAAAATGAGTTTAAACCCCTGGTATATTATAAAAATTTACACCCTTGGTATAAATTTTGTACCATTATGTGTCTCACGTTTTATTTTTTTTAGGATTTTATATATTTATTTTTAGAGAGGGGGGACAGGAGGGAGAAAGAGAGGGAGAGAAACATCAATGTACAGCTGCCTCTTGCACGCCCCATACTGGGGACCTGGCCCATACCCCAAGCATGTGCTCTGATTGAGAATCGAACTGGTGACCCTTTGCTTCACAGTCCAGTGCTCAATGCACTGAGCCACACCAGCCAGGGCTATGTGTTCCAGGTTTTAAAAAACCAACCTGTAACAGGTGTGGAACTGAGTCCAGAACTTGAGGTGTCCAGGAATATAGGATATTCCCCCAAAAACTTGGCTGGGGGATGGGAGACATGAGCAGAGCCATTGAGAGTTACTTTGCATATCAATAACAGCAGGCTAGCTTCATAGTAATGCTGAATAGTTTGCCTGGGCCAGGGAGATGGGTCTGACTTTGATTCATGATGTAGCTGGGAAGCAGCTACCCTGGTTACAGCACCTGTGTGAGAGCTTGGACCAGGTTTGCTCCACACCATGGGGCCAGGCCTGCCCATACTAACAACTGTGGCCAAGAAAGGCAGAAAATATGGGAAAGCTAGTAGGTGGAGCTGATTGTGGGAGGAGTCAGAAATGTGGTTACAGAGGAGGATCCAGGCCAAGGTTTAAACTAAAAGCAGATCACTTGTGCAAGGGACAATGCGGGACCTTGTAGGACCATGTGGGTCAAAAGCGGGTGGAAGGACCCTCACTGGCTAGCCATGAGGAGGTTCCACATGGTTTTAGATAAAGAATTGGAGGTTATGGGGACACAGCTGATGGTGCTGGAAACTGCGGGAGGCCTGCCCAGCTGAGCATGGATTACTGGGAGGAACTAGGAGAAGTGAGTTGTGAACTTCTGTTTTTTTTTTTCTTTTTTCCCTGAAAGAAGGCAGTACCTCTAACTGGCATGCTCTGAGACTAGCCTGACTGGGCAAAGAGGGAGGGGCAGGACTGTGTGTATTTGGGGGTGTTCAAAGGGAGTAAGACCAAATGACAAAATTCTGCCATTACTCTAAATCTGTATAACCTTTTTTCCCCAATTTTTCTATTTATTCTTTTTTTAACTTTTTTATTGTTGTTAAGTACAGTTGTCTCCATTTCCCCCCCCACCACTCCTGCCCACCCCAGCCATCCCCACTCCTACCCCTGATCCCACCCTCCTTGTTTTTTTTCCATGTGTCCTTTATACATGTTCCTGGAAACCTTTTTCCTTTTTCTCTGCATTATTCCCCCCCACCTCCCCCCTGCTTACTGTCAGTTTGTTCTTAATTTCAATGTCTCTGTAAACCTGTATAACTTTTAATTAAATAATTCCTTTCCTTTTTTACCAAACTCTGGCATTGAGAGCTAAGTTCTTATTGGCAGTGAGCAATAGAACCCAGAGCAATAGACCCACAAGGGTTCTGTTACTAACCTTGCTGAATTTCACACTGAAAAATAAGTAAACAAATGATGATATCAAAGGAGTTTAGTAGAGGAGGTGGTACTGAAAAAGAGCTGAAACTAAAACTAAACATTCTCATACTTCTTTCTCCACAGGAAAATCAAACTTAAATAATAAAGCTCCTTTTTTGACATAGCTTAGTACCATGCAACTTAATGAAGAAATCATCATGTGGAAAAAAAATATCTTTCTGGATTACATTTTACTAGCATACCAAAAGCCCCATGAACAAAAAGAAAAATTGATAAATTGAACCACATCAAAATTAAAAACTTTTGCTGTGTAAAAGTCTTTGTAAGAGTATAATCTACAAATTGTGAGAAAAGATTTGCAAATCAAATAATTTTCAAAATTCAGTAAAAACAAATAATTAAACTAGAAAATGGACAAAAGATATTTCACAGAAGAGGATATACAGATTGCAAATAGCACATGAAAAGATGTTCAACATCATTAGCCATTAGTGAAATGCAAATTAAGATATCAGTACATGTAGGGTAAGTGGAGGCAGTCTGGCTTCCTTGCCCACATGTCTTGGCAACTATGGGAAGCAGTGTTCCCATAGCCTTGGAGGGGCCTAATAACTAGTGTTTTCATAGCCTTGAGACTGGGTCCAATAAACTGTTCCCATAACATGAAGTAGGCTCGCATGCACAAAATTATGCTCTGTTGTGTAATATTATGACAGTTTTCTGGCGTTGTTCCCCTCTAGTACTTAAACAAGTAGAGGCTTCTCACTAGTTAGACACACACAAGGGTACTGGTGCCACGATAGGTGCCATGCTGGGGAGCAAGGGCCAGGACATGTGCCACACAGAGACATGCAAATAGACATGCAGCTTGCAGCTTGTGTGGCTCACCTACCCATGAATAAAGGTATGCCAGGCATCCTAACAGCTCTGTGAATATTATTCTGTCTGTGCGAATACCATGGATCAGCCCAGCCTTAAATGGTTGCAACATAGTACACATTTATAAAAATGACTTAAGTAAAAAATAGTTACAATACCAAATGTTGGTGAGAATGCAGAAAAACTGGAATGTCCATACATTGCTGATGGGACTGTAAAATGGTACACCCACTCTGGAAAACAATGTAGCAGTTTCTTAAGAAACTGCAACTACCACATGAGCCAGCAATTGCACTCCTGGACACTTACCTCAGAAAAGTGAGACCTTAATGTTCATACAAAAACCTGTACGTGAATGTCCATAGCAGCTTCATTTGTAATACCAAAACTTGGAACTAGTCCAAATTTCTTTCAATGTGTGAATGGTTAAACAAACTATCATGAATCCCGAAAGATTCATACTATGAGTTCATTTATATAACATTCTGGAAATGACAAAATTATGAAAATGAAGAACAGATGTGGCTATAAAAGGGCAATATGAGGGGTCCTTGTGGTGATGGAATGTTCTGTATCTTGATTGTATTAACATCAACATCCTGGTTGTGGCACTGTACTATAGTTTTGCAATATGTTACCATTGGAAGAAATTGGATAAAGGGTACACTGTTATTTCTCAAAACTGTGTGTGAATCTACAAGTAGTACAATTTTAAATTAAGAAAAAAGGGATATACACACACACCTTTGGGTTTACTTCTAGCTGTGTACATTCAGGAACTATAATCATGTCACTAGTTGCTCAGGATTCTATCATGAAAAAAATCCCAGTTGTTTTCTAAAACCTAACTTGTTCAAATGATAAACTAATAATAGCAAATTATTTAGCAAGCTATAAGGTAAAAAAGTATAGAAATTTAGCAGTGGAATTCTATTTCTGACTCTAGTACTTTTGCTATTCAATCTATTTACATATAAAACAACTGAATAGGCCATGATGGTCAAAATAGAAATGAAATTGTTGTATCAGGTGATAGAAAATTTGAGAAGTATCAATGTCCTGACAATATGATACTTCATAAATGATTGTGTGGGGGGTCTGAGGACACAAAGGATAGAAATTAAGACAGGTATGAGAACAGCCTACTGAGATAACATTAAACTTTAAAAAGTATTGCTATCAGAGTGTATTTCCCAGAGTGTACAAGAAATAGAACAGACACTGGTGTAATTTTAACCTGATAATTCATAAAAAGGGACTATTTCTGATAAGAAAAACTTCAGTCATTTCCTTATAAACACTGAAAGAAACTTAAGAGAAAATTTAAAGATTCTATGCTAAGAAAATGTAACAATAACATATTCTCTCCCAATTAAACAAGCAAATCACTCTAAAACAAGTGTTTTGCATTTTGAATATTTATCTGACTATATAATTTGCTGTGTCATTTGCATTTTGGTTTTGTAACAAAACCTTTTCTATAAAAGCTGGTGCATCTATAAGTGAATATAAATTAGTCCTCCTTTAAGATCTTAACACAAAAACCCTAAATAATACATACATTAACTAAGTTTTACAAAAGTAATGGTTTTGGACTGATGTCAGGATCTGTATTTGTGGAAAAGTACCAGACAAGAATATCAAACAGCCATTTTCCATTTAATCTACTTAGAAGTTTACTATTTAATCATTACAGCACAATTTAATTGATGGTATTTCAGTACTTGAAGCACAGTTCTACAGAACTAGAAACGGTCTATTTTACTAACAGGGTTTGACAACAGTTGCAGCATGGATAGATGTTTTTTATGCTTAGCCTGCTGAAGTTTACAGTTCATCACTTACAGGGCCATCATCTGATTCTCCTGCTGTAGTCATCTTTTCATTGGTAACAGGTGGGCTTTCTTCGTTTTCATCACCCATTTCTTCACCTTGGAGTTCTTTTGCAATTAATTCCCTACCTAATTTCATGTGCAGTCCTTCGCTGTAATGCAGCTTCCTTCTCAATTCGAACTGCCGCTGTCTTTCTTGTTTATCCATGAAGATTCTGCTGTGTATCTGCTTGTTCTCTGGCTCCCCCATGAGACCCTTCGGCTCAGAGAAATCAGCGGCGGCTAATTTCTTAGCTAAGTTATCAATAGTGGTGTCTCCAGTCTGGCCTTTTGCTTCTAAATCACGCGCGGTATCTTTGCCATCTTGAAACCTCGGGTGACGAATGTTAGGCTCATTTATCTTCCTTAAATCATAGTCTCTGTATGCAGAGCGGCATGTGGCAAGGATATTTGATTCGTCCCACCTCTTAGACTTTTTAGTCTGTACTTGATTAGGCCCTCCAGACTTCTGGGCAGGGGCCCCCATGGAAGAATCCATGGAGTCTTTGTTTTTCAGGATCCCCTTGATGGGTCTGTGTGAGTTGGTGGAAGTAGCCATGGTGGGGATTTGAAGAAATCCTGAGCGATCTCTGGGCCACAGCTGCCTGAAGCGCTTCAAGCTGATACTGAAGCGACGTTCGTTTGGATCACATCTCCAAGACCCCTAGGAACCTTACTGAACCGACGTCACAAAGGACGCCATCTACAATTGTTGCCATTGCAGTTATTGCCAACGTCACTGCCTCAGGGCCCACACTGATATCTTTTTTTCTAATGGAGTAAGACAAGAAATATCCCTGAGTTTCATATGGAACAGGAAAGCACTTTTTTATGAATTTCTATGTACACTGTGTATGAGGAGGCTATGAAAAATGTATTTCTTAGTGTGAATCACTGTCAAAAGTTCCAAAGCCAATATTTTGGTTAGAAAGATTGGTGGCATTGATACTACAAGGCAGTTAACATCTCCTCCTCCCTTCTGTTGCCATCCACATCTTGCTCTCCTCCCACCTACACACACAAAACTCCTTGACCCCCTCCCCTGCTCTGCCTGCCTCTCAGTTAATAACCACAATATTCAGACAAAATTCCAGCTGGGAACCTGTGCATTAATCCCGATGCCTTCATGCTGCTACTCTCCCGTACAGCCCTCAGGTACTGGCACAAATATTTCCAGAAACTCTCCAATTCTCTCTCTTCTGCTACCACATTGTTCCCTTATAACCACTCCTGCTGATGTCCAACCTCTTACCCTCCAATCAGAGTGGTCTTTTAAAAACACTCATCAAATCTTGTCACAGATCTCTTTTAAACAGTTTACTGGCTGCCAATTTTATTTAACATAGAGACCAAAATCCAGAAGAGACCAAAAAGCAGCTCCATTATCTGCTGCAGCATCCTCCCTCTAATTCTCCCCATACTCCTTCCAACTTTCTGTTCTGGACTTTTGGTTCCAGGAACATTCACCTTTCCTGTCCCAGAGCCTCTTTCTACATTCTTCCCACAGTCTGGAATACCCCTTCAGATTTGAGCTCCACCATTACTGCCTTACAGGGGCCTGTTTCCTGACCCCCAAATAGATAGAACTTTTTGTGCTTTCATAGCCTCTCTTATCCTCCTTGGCAGCACTCAGAGTGGTTGCAATTATATTATCTGTGTACATTAGATTGTAGACTCTAAGAGATACAAGAAGGTGTCTATTTTGCTCACCATTATCTCCAGCTTTGTATCTTCACAACATTATGCTGGACATAGCACACAGTTGGTATTATAAAAATACTTATTAAATGAATAATAAATGATAGAGGATAGGAAATTGGAAGAATGAGAAGTGCAATTAGAGAAAAGGGGGCTCCAGAACTTTTATAGTCAGTTATAATTTGTCCAATCAGTCATGTGGGAAAAACTGGTTGCATGTGGAATTTGGGGTCTGTTACAGCAAGTGACTTTGGAACATTATTTATTTATTTAAAATTTTAATTTTTAGAGCGAGGGATAGGAAGAAAGAGATGGAAACATCAATGTATGGTTGCATCTCGCACACCCCCTCCTGGGGGCCTGGCCCACAACTCAGGCATGTGCCCTGACTGGGAATCAAACCAGCGACCTTTTCATTCATAGGCCAGCACCCAATCCACTGAGCCACACCAGCCAGGGCTGACTTTGGAACATTTTGTCCTTCACAGGCCACAGACAGTGATGTTCTTCTGAAAAACAAAAAGGAAATTAAGATCTAGTTTCACAGTTTTCCTTCCAGGTAGCATTCATAAGGCTTTTTCCCCTTCTAATACATTTTGCTTCCTCTTTTCTCCCTCAAGGTCTTTCTGTATTTTAGAACATGAAAGCAAAAGCATGAAAGAACCATAAAATTTTACAAGGGTCTTAAGCACCTTAAGTTCAAGTTATCCTGTATTCTCCAAAGTTCTACTAACTTCAGGGGCTGCAACCACTTTAAAACCGTGTTATTCATCTCAGAAAAAGAATTTCCTAGTGATATACTCTGAAAAAGACCTGTATTGTGTGGTGAGGGCTTTCAAGGATTCAAAAGCTTATATTCAAGGCCATAGGAAAAACCTCCAGTATGTGAGGGGGAAAAAACAAACATTATTATTCAGAAATACTCCAGGCCACCTCTTAAAAAAACCTAACTGAAAGGCAGTGCAGACCAGCAAAAATGCAATTTGTCATCCTGGCTAGCAGGCATGGTGGACCTGTGAGTGTTTAGCTGTAAACAGGATGCTTATTCCAGTGCATTGGGATTTTGCTTTTCTGTGTACACAGCACCTAACCCACATACTGTAATCTGAATATGCAAGCTGCTCAATATATAATCAGTCAGTGATCCAGTAGTTGTTGAGTATTCTGAAACTCATCATTCAGTAACACAATGACAGTTCATATGTTAGGGCAGGAACACTGTGATTGTAATCTATGACATGGTCGGTAAATAGTCATTTCAAACACAAAGTCAGCAGGCATTACAGATTTCTGTTGCACATTACTTAAAAGTAATCCTTTTTTACCTACCATTTGCTAATTATCTGCTTAATGAAAGTTGCCTTAAGAAAGAAAAAAACAAATTTTGAATTCTTGTCATCATACTAAAAATTGTCCATTTAGTCCAAACTACTACAAGCCTAAAAGTTAGAAATGATCATCAGTCTTTCCAATATTCCTGTTTACAGGGTTCCCTTGTTATTACCCTAGGACAAGGGCTGAACAGATATGTCTGAAGTTCTATCATGCACACACACAGTCCTACAGGTCTAAAATTTTCCCAGTCAATGACGCATTATATGAAATTAGCTACAGGCCTAGAAGATATTTATTTCAACAAATACTTAGTTGCCATTCACTATATTTCCAGTAAGAGAACCTTTATTTTGTTGTGTTTTTTAAAAGATTTTATTTATCTTTAGACAGAGGGAAAAGGAGAAAGAAAGAGAGGGAGGGAAACATCAATGTGTGGTTTCCTTTTGAGTGCTCCCTACTGGAAACCTGGCCTGCAACCCAGGCATGTGCCATGACTGGGAATTGAACCAGTGACCCTTGGGTTCCTAGGCCAGTGCTCAATCTTCTGACCCACACCAGCTAGGGTGAGAACCTTTATTTTGAATACACAAAAAATGAAGCTGTGCTTCAGAATCTTCAATGGGTTTATAGTTGGCAACTACATCTAAGTACGCATGATGCTTTATCATCACAGTTTTAAAATACATTAAAAATGTAAAAATACATCTAAAATTTCACATGAATTTTGTGCTGTTTGCACAGGATCAGAGTACTTTTACAGGTACTGTTTGTTAATTCCTCAACCACATCTTTTCTTCCAGTGAGAACCACATTTCTTCTGTGGAGATATTGTCCAAGTGTTATAAATACAGGAGTAGGATCAAAAGGGGAACCAAACTAGAAACACGGACATTCTCAATTTCCATGGGAACAAAGGTGGAAACACCTAAGATATGAAGACTTACCAGAAACAAAGCAGGTATCCAGATGCTCCACTGGGTGCCCATAGTGAGAGATTAATAAAACACTGAGAAAACAGCAGGTTACTGTAAGACACACTATGCTGTCAGAAGTGAAGACTGCTAGTAGTTCACCCATGCGGTATCTGAAGTCATGCATCATTCCATCCAAGAATTGTCCACAGTACTTAGAGAATTATGTTAGATACTGTGTGGTCAAAAATAAAAGTACTATTTGGTTTTGAATCTACTTTTCTGGCCCAGTCTCTCTCTCTCTCTCTCTCTCTCTCTCTTTCGTTATATTTTAAACCCCAATTTCTGATCTTCTACTAAATATCTCTCTTAGCTTGAGCTCTTTTAGAAGCCAACTCTGAGATAAGGATTCAAGTCCAAGTAATTTACTTGAGAGAAGATTAACAGAAAACACTGGCAGGGTTTTGGGGAAGTGGGACAGGGAAGGGCAGGAGGCAAAGGCTGTGTTACCTAAGCAGTTCCTAAGCTCTAGTGGACAACTGGAGCTTAACCTTGCTGGGAAACTCTGGGAGTCAACATAGAATAGTTACTCTTATTGCCCACCCCCACTACTCTAGCGAGGGAGCTAGAGTGTATTTACAGATAAATTGCTACCATCTTTACATTAGGCCTTCTGGGAGTGGGGAATGGTATTAATTCTCTGTCACTCTGGATTCCTGTGGGAGTATCAGGAATGGATGATCAACTTGCTGATGCATCCTTATATTGGCTTTCTCCCTTCCCTGCGTTGCAAAGTCTCTACTGCTATCCTGCTCTCAAGGATCACAGTCCCAAAGGAAAGTTTTTATTTTTTTAACATTTTTAAGAACCCCATTTTATTTCTTCTTTTCAATATAGTGTCCTTTCATAATGACGTGGCAAGTCTTGCACATTTCAAATATACTTCATTTGCTTTTTTTATTGTTGTTTGAGTAAAGTTGTCTCCATTTTCCCCCACCATTCCCCCCAACCCACCCATCCCCACCTCCTACCCTTGGTCCTACCCACTTTGGCTTTGTCCATGTGTCCTTTATACATGTTCCTTGACAGCCTTTCTCCTATTTTTCTCCATTATCCCCTCTCACCTCCCTTCTGGTTACTGTCCATTTGTTCTTAATTTCAACCTCTCTGGTTATATTTTGCTTGCTTTTTTGTTGTATTGATTAGTTTTCACTTATAGGTGAGATCATATGGCATTTGTCTTTCATTGCCTGGCTTATTTTACTTAGCATAATGCTCTCCAGCTCCATCCATGCTGTTATGAAGGATAGAAGCTCCTTCTTTCTTTCTGCTGCATAGTATTCCATTGTGTAAATGCACCACAGTTTTTTGATCCACTCATTTGCTGATGTGCACTTAGACTGTTTCCAGCACTTTCCTATCATAAATTGTGCTGCTATGAACATTGGGGTGCAAGGTCTTTTTCTTTAGGTCTGCCCTTGCAAGTAGAATCCAGATTAAGACAAGTATTGTGTACTTTATCTTCAATTCCCCTACACCTAATACAGTAATTGGCATATGTCCATACTCTGTAGCAATGTCCATATTTCTGTAAAGTGAGTGAATAAACTGAGGA